ATCCGGCTAAATAATCCTCTACTAAAATTGATAGTATTTCTACTCTGTATTATTATTATTAAGACCATCCTGGTATTATTATTTCACAAGTAATGCTACCTGTAATTACATCCTACTAGTATGAATTATCCCTGCTATCATTTTACTGTTAATAGCCTTCTGTTATTGTTTTCAACAATTATATCTTACTGCTACTAGTTTCTAATACTCTTATATTTCCTTGCTGCTCTTATTTAATAATATTGCCTACTAGCATGTTCTACTAATATGATTTGTCAATATTCCACTAATATACTAAGAAAATTCTATACTAGTATACTAATTCCATTACCAAAAGATATAATAAGGCAACTCTTCTCTGAGTGCCCCTCGGTATACTGTTTTCCCTTTTCCTTCTAGGGTGTCGATCGGCACCCCCTTCCTCTCCACATGTGTCATTCGGCACAATACTTCTGTCGACCGTCACTTCTTTTTTTTTCTGCGGTCGTCACTCTTTTTCCTGCCTGTGTCGCACGACATAGGCTTTTCCCCGTGGCTTCTGAAAGATTTTTTTTTTCTTCTCCAAATTTTTCCTTCGATTCATCAGTTTACCAATTTCAACAGCACAACACAGTACCACAACAACATAACAAATTATATCAACATAGAATAATTTCTCACAAGAAAACCTCACATATCATTTATCATATACCCAATTATAGAGAAACAACCCCACCCTTACCTTAGATTAGAGACCACTCTATTCTTCCGGTTAAACCTCGCTTTGCCATAGCTTCTAACCTTTGCCTCTTCTCTGTAACCTTGCAACTTCTCATGTTCCCACAAAATTCTCCAAGACTTGTTCAATTAACCTAATTCTTCTTATAATTAGTTTAACCTTATAATTATTAATATTCTTATTGGACCTAACTTTCACACCCTCACCTTTACTAAATACAACCAAATAATGATCCCAACTAATAACCTCATATTATTCTAATATCTATATGAATATTATTACTAATATTAATCAACCAAATAATAACTTAGCACTTAAATCAATATTTCTCGATATTTCACAACTTCAAAAATTTCAACAACATTTCAACCATTGATCCATAATTAATTTAATTAAATAATTAATTAAATTAACGGACGTTACACTAATGCACATGTTAACCTGACTAATGAGCAATTTATTACTATGATAGTTGAAATTAACATGGTTGTTGGATCTGATGGTTGGTGGATAGAACTGGTGTCTCTCATTGTGTCTGTTATAAGCGTGTTATGTTTAAAACATACACGAATACTAAATATAAGAAAGTGTTGTTGAGAGATGTCCACACCACTAATGTTGTTGGAATTAGAGACATTGAGTTGAATTTCACCTCCGAAAGACTTTAATCTTGAAGGACGTCATGCATGTTTATGAGATTATGAAGAATCTTGTTTCTGGTTTTTCTTTTAAATAAGGTAGTTTTTTTCCAGTCTATTGGGGTAGATTTGTACATCGTCACAAAGAATGATATTTTTGTGAATAACATTGATATGCTTAAAAACTTTGTAAAGAATTTGAAATTGATTTAGTAAGAATTTGTAGTGATTGAGAAACTGTATGATTCTAGTTTATTTAATGAATATTATAAATAACATGGAATTTTACATGAAACGACTGCACCATACTCTACTGAAATGAATGGTAAAGAAGAAAGAAAGAATATAGTTCTTGTTGAACTTGTGTTGTAATTATGTTAAACTCTAGTGTTGCACCTCATTGGTGGGGAGAAATTTTATTGATTGTTTGCTATGTCCTTAATTGAGTTCCCAAGTCAAAAAGTAATATCTTTCCAAAGAAATAACACGAAAAGTTTGATAACTTATGATATTGAATGGGTACAAAGGGAATGAAAGTGACAAACGCGTTTATTACAAATATGAGAATCTCATTTGTATTATCATATGTTTATATGTAAATGGTATACTCATATTTGGATCAAACATTTAGGCCGTTAATGATATGAAACCATTGTCGTGCAACAACTTTGATATGAAAGACCTCAGAGAAGCGAGTTTGATTCTTGGTATCAAGATCACGAGATCTGAGCAAGGAATTTCTTTAGATCGATCACACTATATGGAAAAGATCTTGAAGATATATAATTACTTTGATTGTAAACATGTGAGCACCACATACAAATCAAGCATGAAACTGTTTAAGAACACTGGTGAAATTGTTAAACAACCAAAATATGTGAGTATCATTGGTAGTCTTAGGTATACTACTGATTGTATTAGACTCGACATTGCATATGTTGTATGATTGTTGTACAAGTTTACTAATAGACCGAATAATAAGAATTGGTAAGTTATTGAGCGAGTCATGTGGTACCTTAAAAAGACCATGAATTTCAGTTTGCATTATTAGAGATTTCTTGTTGTACTTAAAGAATATAGTGATGCAGATTTGAATACCTTATTAGGTGATTCTAAAACAACTAGTGGCTTTGTATTCAACATAGCTGAAGGAGTTTTATATTAGAAATCATTGAAACAAACTACCCCGGCCCAACCTACGATGGAGTATGAGATGATAGCATTAGCGACTACTAGTGAAGAAGCAAGTTGGTTAAGATGCTTGCTAGTTGAGACCCTTTTATGGGAAAAAACATATGGAGTTGTGTTGAGCCACTGCAATAGTACTGCGACTATTGCAAAAATTGAGAACAATTATTATGATGGTAAAAGTCGTCAAATTAGAAGAAAGCACAATATTGTTAGAGATTGTATCTCTAAAGGACCTGTAAGAGTGGATCATGTGCGCAATAATGAAAATTTAACAGATTCTTTGGCGAAATAATTAGTTAGAGAGAAAGTCTATAATACATCATATAAGATGGGACTAATGCCTCTAGGAATATGATTTCTCATGATGATAACCCGACTAAATGAATGAAGATCCCAAGAAATAGGTTAAATGGGTAATAACAGGTTGTGAGTAATATGAGGTGATCATACTAATGTGAATAGAGAAGCATGAATCTTGAAGCGATAAGAGGATGCGATAATAGAAACTCTTAATGAGATCTATATTCTGTATGAGGGAGTACCTAGGCTACATGAGTACTCTTGATAGACTCGCCTATGGGATTGTAGAACTTAGGTCGGTTCTTATGGAATTTCGAGGCATAATTTCTACAGCCCTCAATAAGCCGAGATACACATGCAGGATCATTAAAGCACGAGTTATTAGAAAATACCTTAAGAAAAGGTTGTGTATGAGTTTGATGTTTGTGATATAGATCAAGATATTTGTGTCACTCTTGTTGAATCAGAATCCTACTTGCTACGCAAAATTTACAGTTGTAGACACCTTTGTTTATGCATAATTTTAGAAATGTTTGATGTTACTTCTAAAATCACTTTTTAAATTCAATTGGGGAATTGTTGGAACATGTCCATGTTCCAATATGATGAATTTAAAAATTTCCTTATGTTCCTTATTGTTATACATTTATTTTGTAGTTGTGTGTTAATTATAAATAAAATAAAAAAACTTGAAGTCTCACATTGCTTAGAATATATTCTTTGGCTAGCTTACTTCATTATAAGGAGTGCACATGTTTCATTTTAAAACACACTAAAATTTTTTTATTAGTTTTTCCTTACTCACTCTCATAACTTTGCGTCTTTTAAATTGTCGAAGCGCCAACTTCTCCCCCTTTCTTTCTACTCGTTGAATTTTTCGAGTACTTTCTTGAATTCTCTTTAGAGAATAATGTTAATTTCTCCTCGTTTGAGTTGAGAAATTATCAAGTATAATTTTTAGATTCTCTTTAAAGAATTATTCAAATTTCTCTTTGTTTAAGTTCTTTGTTTGAGAAATCCTTTTGAGTGGTCAAATGACAATTATTAAATTCTCTTTGAAGAATTATTGAAATTTCTCTTGGTTCGAGAAATTATTACGATAGACGGTTATACCAGATATTATGATGGTGTATATATCATATTCGAATGGTCTTAGTACCATCAGACAATGTATTTCTAGATTGATTATCTACCGTGCAAAAAATAATCGTACAATATAGAACTGAATTGTTTTATCTTAAAGACGGCGGTGTAGTTTGATTGCTTTGCATAATTTTAGACAGTATTACAAAATGTCTTAAAGAGAGCAAACAGTTTCGCGACTCGATCCAATAATTTCTTAATCATATGACCGGATTTTTTAGTGTTTTTTAATTGTATATTTCAAATATATCTCAATCAGAACTCAAGCGAAACAGCCGCAATGCCCTTCGTAACAACCGCAACTACATCTACGACCGCAACGACAAATTTAAAATCATGCTAAGCATTTGTATTGGATTATGATACACTGCTGTATTTTTGCACAGACCCAATATGACCCCAATATGCATTGAGAAGACTGGATTGGTAATTAGTTTTGCATAGGAGGTGTATTGTCGAAATACCTACAAATCTAACGTAAACATTTTATTCATGCTTATATAACCTTTTACTTTGTAAGACTTTATAGTTTTATAACATTAACACATTGGCACTCTACTACATCAAGAAATATTCAAAATTATTCTTCATTTCTTTATTTATAAAAGCTTTAGGCAGTAACTAGAGTTCAGTTTTGGTTTCACATCAATGAGAAAATGTATGACGATACCCAATAAAACATAAACTTTTGTAGACACATTATCTGCATGACTATGAACTATCTTTCGTGATAAACTTAAAAAACATCTCCTAGTGAATTCAACAACTACAAGTGCCTCATGTAGCTATCTTTCCATGTAGCTGTTTTAAGGAATCAACAAGAGAAAATTCAAGTAAACAACTAATGAAAATTTTAAGGTAACTTTTGCTTACACACCTTAACTTATTATACAAAGGACAATGTTGGAATAACACACGCCAATGAAGAAGTAGTCCTCAAACATGACCCTACTCTATAAATCTATATTTCTGAAGATTGTAGTAAACGAGTAAGATTGAGTTTAAATCACATGATGAACCTTTCGACCTCTAAATCTTTTTATGTTTGTTCTTTCCTAGTTTTGTTTTATCCATTTGTTGTGACAGCTACATTTAAATCTGATTATAAAAACTATTCATTTCCTGCTCTTATTGCATTTGGTGATTCAGTCTTGGATACAGGTAACAACAACTATATTCCAACAATAGTGAAGTCGGATTTCAAACCATACGGTAAAGATTTCATCGGAGGAAAAGCGACAGGAAGATTTAGCAACGGAAAAATCCCGTCAGATTTTTTCGGTATAGAACTCCTAAGTTCTTAACATCTACATGCTAACTAATGTTTTGCATGGTTCATTGTGCTTAAAGATTTTCATATAACATGCAGCTGAATATTTTGGGATTAAGGAGCTCGTGCCGCCCTATCTCGATCCGAATTTGACTACAGAAGACCTCTTAACTGGAGTATGTTTTGCGTCGTCTGGTTCAAGATAAAGCAATCAAGACAATCAAGAGAAGCAATTTTAAGATCTCTTAACCGGGTGTAAGATCTATAGTAACCCCGAACAAACCCTCAAAAGTAAAGCAATAAAGACAATCAAGAGAAGCAATTTTAAAATGATCTAAATCCTAAGGTATACCCCACTTTATAGAATATCCCCAGCAGAGTTGGCAGTTCTGTGATACGGTGGCAGAACCGACTGTTAATATTGGTTTGCGTTTTGCGTTTTTTGTTTGCAAAATGTCGCGGTAAGCAAGAGTCGCCACCGACTTTTATTTCATCCAATCATGGAAAAGGAAAAAGAACAGAAAAAACATTTTTTCGAGATATTCTGAGTCCGGGGAGGGGGGTAGATTATAGAAATGGAAGGTGTTAGCACCATTTCTATCCGTAATTATCTACAGGCTCTTAGGTACTTGCTCATATTTTTAAAATTGTCTGTGTGTGTGTTTGCTTTGAAAATGTTTTACTTCGTGATAACCCTTGTATCAGTCCTCAAGGGTGTGACGAAGTTGTTTTTGAAAACTGTTTTGAAAGGTGTTAGCGTGAAAAGTTTTATTTTGAGCAAGTACCTACTAGCATCTACCTACTCGAAAAAAGATCGTTTATGTTCTATTTCCTTTAGACAACGCTATCCTACTATTAAGGAGTAGGTAGCACCGTCGTTGTAGTTTGCAAGGGACATTCGAAAGGGACAAGTACAATCACCAAAGCAATAGTTAGAAAACTTTAGTAGTAACCCTAGAGTCTTAAGATCTTTTCGAGGCAACGTTTCTGAGGCAACATTTATGAGGCAACATTCAAATGGGACACTTGATCTTTTAGACAGGAGGACGACCACTAAAATTTCCTATGCTTAATGAATGTTTACCGAAGGCAACCGAAGTAAGATAAACCCTAGGAGTGAATATGTGTGAGTGATTTGTTTCAGTTATTTTAATCTTTGCACATTAGGTGATCTACCGTTTAAATTTCCAGATACTCTTGTCATTCAATCCTATTAGCATACATCTAGACAGTTAAATATTTGCAGGAATTTAAAGTGAAAAAAAATAAACCTAGCTATTACAAGGCTTTGACAGTTACATAATTGTCTCGACGGAAAATTAAAGTGCGGAATTTAAAACCCTAATTAAAACTATTACAAACTCGAAACAGTTACAAAATAACAAAAAAATGGTAAATAAAATACGCGCGACGAATTAAATGCGAAAAGAAATTGAAAACCCTAAAAATCTAATTGGAAAATATTTAAGTTATTTTTTTTGAGAAAAGAATTAATTAAGTTATGTACAATTACAACCCAAATTCTATTTAATTTTAATTACAAAAATAAGATTTAATTGCCCTAATTAAATTAAATTAATTAATTCAAGGAAAATATATTTTTTTATGAAAAAGATTTTTGGTATTTTTTTGTGATTTTTGATTTAATAAATAAAAAAATTGATTTATGTGTTATTTTTAAAAAGAATAGTTAGAAAATAATTAAAAAAGAATTAAAATTAAAAGATGAGAAAAGGGTCTGTTTAAGCAATTCTGGGGGTTGAACTTTTGAAACCCAGAAGGATGGCTCAGAGTCTGGCGCCTGATCCAATGAGACCGTCTTCTGGGGACTCATGGTGGACTTGTGTATGTTGGCGTTGGATCAGAGGATGAGGTCAGAGGGCGCCTGATGATCCTCAGAAGGTGTGTGTGCTAGATCTGGCTGGAGATGGATCTAGAGGATGAGATCAGAGGGAGCTTGATGATCCTCTGAAGGTGAGGTGTGCTGGATATGGCTGGAGATGTATCCAGAGGATGAGATCAGAAGGCGCTTGATGATCCTCAGAGGATGAGGTGTGATGGATCTGACTGGAGATGGATCTAGAGGATGAGATCAGAAGGCGTTTGATGATCCTCAGAGGGTGAGGTGTGCTGGACCTGGTGAAAATAGTGGAGAAAATGCCAAAAGCTCACGCCTGGGATCGAACCCAGGACATTAGCTTCTGACTTCCTTCCTCTGACCAACTGCGCTGGAAGTTAACTTGTTAATATAATAAAAACAAATAATATATTGGAAAATGAGTTAGTGGCCAGAAAAACGCGCCAGAATTTAAACCAGCCAGTCAGGTTGTGACACGCTGTTGTCTTCTTCGCTGTCTGTCGTTTTAGGTTTTTGGACCTTTACCTACAGACGCAAGTCTATTGCTAAAAACCTGTGTTATTCAATAATCAAGCATACGCAATATAAATTTAATTGGGGACCATGAATCAACTGGGTTTCAAGCTCTGATCATCATGGTACCCATTATCAGGTCTAATTTTGCTTAAATCATAAAACTCCAAATTGGAGCACGAAACCCTAGCAATGGCAAAAGCTTGTTCCTGCACTGTAACATAAATCAAACTATCCAGAAACATTGCAAACATGATGATGAACACAAATATATGGGTAAAATACATTTATAATGCATAAATCATAGAAATCAAATTTGAGTTTTTTTGTGCAAACCGTGATGTTGTAACGCGCGACTCTTGATACTTTGAGGCTTGCAAATGGTTGGGAATGCTTCCTGAGATGTCCAGGAATGTATTGCTAGCCTTGAAACTCCTTTATTAGCCCTATATCCCAGAATTTGAACCTCACTTTTTTATCAAAAGTTATGAGTTTTCTTCTGGCAGTTTCACGCCTCCAACCCTTTTTTTGTGTATTGGAATTATTATGTATATGTAATGCACTGAATTAGGTAAACAAAAAGTATTCAAATCTTGGTAAATTAGGAAGATTGGATTTTATTTCCTCATGTATGATTTCTTTCCAAAACTTTCATCAATCCAATCTTTTTCAACCCTAATGAAACTTGCACGATTTGGTTGGCATGCTAGTTGTACATGGACTCAGAATATGCATAAAAATCTCAAGATTTGATTTGTTTTTATTATTTTACCTTTTAATTTTATTTATTTTGACTTAATTGAATAAAAAATCAAAATAAATAATAAAAGTAATAAAAAAAAGGTGGAAAATCTCAGGGGTCGTGGGTCCTATTAGAAACATGTTTCAAGCAAGAAAACATGGGCTTTGCATTCTTTAAATACCATTGTTTGCATGTAACTATTTGTTTGACAGCAGAGAAGTTCTCATGACAGAAGTTCGATGAATGGAAACTTTCCATAATTACTACAAATGGAGGACATTTCAAATAAACAGGTCTTCCATAAGCAAGGGGCAGGACATGGTGTCTAACACACCTGGGGCAGTCTCTCCAGAGGTGCCAAATAACCAGGGGCAAATCTGCATCTGAATCACTTGGGGCATTGCGCATGCATTCCAGCAACATTTTTGACAACACAACACTATAGATAGTGATAACTCTCTACATCCTGAAATCATGGACATAGGCATAAGAAGTTAGGCCCATCCTGATCAAATTTGCATTTTTTCCAAATGGGCCTAACTTCTTATGCCTATGTCCATGATTTCAGGATGTAGAGAGTTATCACTATCTATAGTGTTGTGTTGTCAAAAATGTTGCTGGAATGCATGCACTATGCCCCAAGTGATTCGGATGGAGATTTGCCCCTGGTTATTTAGCACCTTTGGAGAGACTGCCCCAGGTGTGTTAGACACCATGTCCTGCCTCTTTGCTTATGGAAGACCTATTTATTAGAAATGTCCTCCATTTTTAGTAATTATGGAGAGTTTCCATTCATCGAACTTCTGTCATGAGAACTTCTCTGTTGTCAAACAAATAGTTACATGCAAACAATGGTATTTAAAGAATGCAAAACTTATGTCTGTCTTGAGGTTTTGAAAATGAAGTTTTTATTTTATTTTTTATTTTTAGAAAAAATAGAATTTTGCAAAGATGTGATATCAACTCAGGATTTGTAACGGACCTTCAGGAGTCAGGATACCTTTTGTAACAATATGCTTTCGAACTAACCCATGCTTCAGCTAGGACTTTTAACGGTTATAACGTGGCCTATTTCACGGTTTAAGAAACAAAGGATAAAGGTTCAAATTTTATTTGTACCCATCCGTTCTTCGTGATGTTCTTCGAACCTATGCTCAGTGAATTGTGCATTTAGATCTCGTTTGAGTCTTTGCTCTGATATTCCAGTGATGGTTCAGATACTGACAGTTTATTTTGAAGCGGCAATCATTTTTGTAATCTTCTTTCTATCGGGGATTTATAGTAACTTCTTCCTTTTTTTGTTTTCGTTATCCCTACTTTTTCCTGAACTGTGTCTTTTGGGATTACAGCCAGCGGGATGCCCCAATTTGTTTCTTAAGTCTCCTTCACAGGTTTTGACTTAACGGGCTTTTATTTTTAGGGGTAATGATTGCCTGTCTTGATGATTATGTGGAACCATCATCATTTTTTGGAGAGCATCTTCTACACTATTTTTCGTGTATGAAGGTAGAGCTTGTGACTGGATGCACATTCGAATTAACTGAGAAAACTACCCTGCCCCGGGTTATGATTAAGGGTTTTAATTTGTGTAAAATAAAAACTCATGCTTCTTTGGCTCAAAGGGGTTAACTAGGGATTATCTTCCTTATATCTCCAGTGTTCAGGATTTGAAAAAATGCTTGTACATCGTCAGCCAGGTCTGTCCAAAAGCATACTGTATGGACATGGTATTTTTCGTCATCCTCCCTCTAAAGGCTTGTAGCTTGTAACTGAGAGTTGAATATCACAAAAAATAAGTAAAAACACAATTTAAATATAATGAATTACTTCAAGACAAACATATGCAATGCATTAATGGGAACACCAAAGTTTGACATTACAGTAATTGTTCGAACAAGCAAATGAAATTACAATTGAAAAATCACAAATGAATGGGACACTCTCAATGATTTGGCCTAGGAGCGGTGATCACTTTATGAGTCTCTGGAGGGTCGAATTCAATCTCCTTGGCGTTAATCATATCCTGAATTTTGTTCTTCAGGGCCCAACAGCCATTCGTATCATGTCCAGGACTATCAGAATGGTATGCACAC